GGGGGGGCTGCCCAATTGTTTGACATGTCATGGGTGGATGGGCCTGCCACAGTCAGTCCGAGAGCTGCGCACCTTACTTCTTCGACAGCCTGACTTGACCACCCACTTTGATATGCCCCCGTATCAACCACGGGATTTGTTTGTTGATGGCTCCTGCGTTCGCCCAACATGCAAGTACACTCGAGTGGCTGGGTGGAGTATGGTTGCCGCTGATCCTTCTGATCTTGATCAATGGTGGCCGATAGCACAAGGAATCGTGCCGGGATGGAAACAGACGAGCGGAAGGGCAGAAATCTTGGCCGCAACATCTGCAGTCCGTTTTGCGATCTCACAGGGTTGCCATGTGCGGATCTGGAGTGATAATGCTCTAGTGGTCGATACACTGAGTCAAGCCCTGCGCAACCAAGCCGGATGTCCCATGCCGACCAAGGACCAAGATTTGTGGTCAACGCTATTTGCCTTGGCACGCACCGCTTCACCTGACTTGGTACAGATTCATAAAGTGTCTAGCCATCAATGCATGGACAAAGCCTCATGGCTCGAAAAATGGGTCTTCACCGGTAACGATAACGCCGATCATGGAGCCCATCATAGCACCATGTATCCCCAGCAGGTCTTCCAACAATGGCGTAACGCAGTAGCCGATCTCGAAGCGGCCAGCATTCTCAGAGATCAAATTCACTCGAACATCTTGCAGGTAAGTGAAGCGGCAGTGACCAAAGCCTCCGCTGAGCAACCACCGCCTGACGCTCCCATTAATTTCGCTCTCCCACTGACCGAGGTGACCCTAGCTGCGTTGCCAGATAGACCTCAAACAGCGACCCACAAATTAGTGGGCGAGGGGTGGAACCGGCTTGCCCGATGGTCCCAGACCTTTCAAAATAATCAGGCCCCAGCCGTTCACCTTCCCTGGCTGTATATGCTCATGGATTTTGTCTTGACCACCGATTGTGGTGGAGTGAGGCCGGTTCGTAAGTACACCACTTGGGAATGGCTGTCCAGGGCCAGTGCTAAGCAATATGAGATTCAAGAACGTGTCAGGTGGTTCCGCATCTTCCTCCTTCGGATCCACAAATTGGAGCGGGTCATGTTGACGACCCAGTACGTGAGGCCCTCATCGCGGGTTACGGTGTTTTGGGCCCACTGCCTTACCGCTCGCATGGCCACCGATCGCTTCAAGGCCGTCGAAACGCACATCCAAAAGCACAAAGCAGTGCTCACCAATGGAGTAGATCTCTTAGCAATCGAGCTTTAGAGATTTTCCAGGGATCAAGGCATCCCCCGCGAAAGCTGCGGAGCCTGAGCCAATCGGAAAATCGGAAAATTGGAGGCCATCGCCATTAGGAGCAAGGATGCTGCTAGTAACAAAGGGCATCGCTACTAGGAACAAGAGGACGCTACTAGTAGCTCCTGGCCTTACTACTAGTAGCAAGAAGCTTTGGAGCCATCGCGTTGTCATGAAATGCAGCGAAGATGTGAGGCGACCACATGCACTATACGGCCTACACGCCAAGTGCGCCTCAACCTCCAGCCTTTGTTGCGACAGCAGCGCCCTGGTCTGCAGGGTCTGTGAGCACGGTATGCGAGCACGCTGTGGCTTACGCACGTGAAATGCCGAAGGCACAGCCACAAATCCAGCAAGTCAGGCACGGCAGCAGCTCTTCAAAGAGTTCAATGGGCCTTTAAGTGATTCTGAAGTTTCATTCTATCTTTGGTTTGAGGAACTGGTACATGCGCACAGTCATGAACCCAGAGATTTACTTGTCTTGCCAGCGAAGATATGTATATATAGTCGAGGCAAGCCCATCTCCAGCGTATCAGAGACTCTCGTTCCAACCTGAACGCTCAGCAGTGAACGAACATGTTCAAACGCCTCTGACATTGCAACAAGGTCAACACCTGCTACTTTCAGAGGGCGGGTCTACAAGGTGGCGAACTTTAGTCGCCACCAAGTGTTGCTTTCCTACCGAGTTTTGGTGCCGCCGGTTCGCCATCTTTGCGCAACCCGAGGTGGCAGGCACCGCCTCCACGGGGTGCTTCGTGACGGTACCCAGCGTCCCCACGATCCGCACCGCGTCGGGGTGCCGAGACTGGTGGAGTCCTGAAAGGAGATGGCCAGATGCCCTTTGTTCCTAGTAGCGTTCTTGTTACTACTAGTAGCGATGCCAGGAGCCCCTAGTAGCGTCCTTGCTCCTGGAGACCTGTGGCAGCGGTGGCAGTGTCGATGGCCCAGGTCTCCAGTGGTGACTGTGCGAGCAGATTCGGCAGGTGATGGGGAGCAGGGGTGGCTGGGGAGGTGAAGAGAAGTCTCATGGCCGTGTCATGACCCTTTCATGCCCCGGTTGTTTGTCCAAGCATTCCATGGGATCACGTGATGGTGGGTCAGGCGCTGGAACGCGAAGGGTGGCTCCGGTGACCTATGGTACGCCACCCGTCTTGGCCGACGGAGCTTGTAGGTGTTGGTTGCGTGGTGGCAGTGAAATTCTGAAATGCTCAGGCTTACTTCATGCATTTTCATGTTTGAGGAGATTATTTCATATTTTTTCTCAATCACTTCAGCTGTGATCGATCGTACATGTACCTGTCCCTACATGCGACTTGTGATCTTCAGACAACTTCATTACATACTTCGGAAAGACCGATTCCGGCTAACTACTCAGCTGCTGCACCAATCGACCCACCTTGGCACAGTGGGTGGACCTGCAGCGGGCCCACCTGGAAGCCCTCGCGTGGTGTTGGGCCATTCACCGGACTCGAGGCGCCGCGCGCCGCGCCGCGCAATCTCATGGGATTGTCTAAGATCCTAGTAGCGATGCTCTTGTTCCTAGTAGTAGGGCCAGGAGCCCCTAGTAGCTTCTTCCTAGTAGCGATACCAGGAGCCCCTAGTAGGGTCCTTGTTCCTATATATATATATAGTTTTGGAAGTAGATTATGATTTATGATTCTCAATTCTCAATTATATACTTGCCATGAGTGGCACTTGTCTGTGTCAGTTTAGTGCTGAAGTTGAGAACAGAACACTCTCCCGGTTTCCTCTGTTTTTCTTCGGGAACCTCTCTCCATGGCGGTCGTCCCGCACCGAGACGATCGCAGGACACGCTGCAACAGTCCTCCAGCCGCTTTGCCTCGGCATGGGAGTCGACCTCCCAGGCGGCCAGAACTGATGGTCCGGACAGTCTGGTGGATGTCCGGTTTGGTATGCGATGATTTCTTCCTCTCGTTCAGGGTCTGGCAAGAAACGCAGTTTAACCGGGTTCCACCACACTTTGAGTTTCGGAATGCCATGATTGCAATTCCAAGCATGTTTTGAAAGAGCTCCTGTAGAAGGAAGTGCTACATTCCATCTATCAGCTTCAATCCCTTCCCCCAAGATCAACTCGTGGCATAGCAGTGGAATGGTTTGTTTTGGAGCCTATTGGAGTTGTGTTTTGAAGGGAAGAAATCTGGCGGTTGGGTGGTTTCATCTCACCTGATTCAGGGCCGGCCCGGCTCCCGTCAGCCAGCAGCTGGAGCCTGTAGCAATCTGGAATTGGAACACCATGTGCATTGAGGAAAAGCTTTCGATTTCAGGATTATGAGAGGGTGCTTTTTGATGTTTGTGTGATGTTTGTGATGTCCGAGAGATGTGACTGTGAGGCCTTGGCAGCATCCTCCTCCAGCACAGTCACATGATGCTTCCTCAGATGTACAGAGACAAGAGTGTGTGCAACAAAAGGAACATGTGACTTTGTGAGCACGAAAGTGTTATTTTTGTATGTTTTTTCCTAAACAGGTTTATTTGTTGAAAAGGGAGTCTTTACTTCCTTTGAAAAGGTGCGCACACCTGCTGTTCGTACGGGTGTTCTCCGGTCTATCTGAGGGCTTGTGCTGGATTGCTTGGGTCGTCTCTTTCCGTTCAGCACACAATCTAGCTCGACTGCCACGTGCAAAAAAAGCCAATGGCCTCTCTTTCCTTCCGCGTCTTTTTCATTTTCCTGCTTGGGGGTCCATCGCTTGTAGGTTGGAGGCCATCACTTCTAGTTTGGAGGCCATCGCCATCGCTAGTAGGTTGGAGGCCATCGCTTCTAGCTAGCAGGTTGGGGCCCATCGCTTCTAGGTTGGAGGCCAGCGCTAGTAGTTTGGAGGCCATCGCTTCCAGGTTGGAGGCCATCCCTTCTAGGTTGGATCCCTTCTAGGTTGGAGGCCATCCCTTCTGCGCATGTCTACGCTGGAACAATTATGTATATATATATATATTTGTTTTTCAAGACTGGTTAAATCCACTTTGGCCCTTCGGATCACTGCCCAGGTGAGCTCGCGCTTCATTTTGGTGTCTCATGAGGTGGGAGCTTTTCTCACCAATTCATGAGCCCAGCCAAGTCAACTCCAGCCCAACCTGGCTGAGTCCCACTCGAGGCGGCTGCGGCTGCTGGGATGGAGCGCTGTGCTACTCCAAGAAGAGTACCTTCCAGACCTCCAGGAGGCGCAATATACAGATGTCAATCGGCAACAGGTGCCAAAACATGTGAATGTTGCTCATAGTGTGGAAGCTCAATTTTATTTGGAGATCGCATTGCGGGCGCAGGCATTAGCCCAGCTAGGTGGGCTGTGAAGCTGTTTGCTCCGGAGCATAGAGATTCTTCACTCACTTTCCAGAATTGGTTGGGACAATCTACAGGACACAAAATATGAAGACCCTAAGTTTCCTGATGTTTCCTGCACTGTCAAGTTTTCTTTCAAACCAATGCGCATTCAGCTCATTCTTGCAGGCCAGTAATTCACCGAATGCAGACACCGCGCACTTGACTGACAGTGGGTGCCCAGTTGCTAATGCCTTGCTCGAACTCCGCTGGAAGGCTGGGGATATGCCCTAAATTGGGGTGGTTTTGGAGACACCAAAGGAGTGATCTCCTCTTGGGAATTGGTTCGGGTCAAACATGTAATGTGGCTGCTGCATGCTTGTGTCTCAAATCATGTGGTGGTAACACCATAAGCTTTACATACAAAGTCGCAGAAAGAGAGGGTTGAACACTAGTTGATCTTGATCACCGTTTCGAGACCAAAGTCGTACCTTTGGATATCACTTGCTTCGCCTACTTCAGACTGACTTTCACATGTCCAGATATGTCCAGATCGTTTGAGTTTCGAGTTCTGCTCGGATGTGGTCCGCAATACTCTCAATTACTCCTCGTCCCCAGCACGCATGGGGTGTTGAAGGACCCAAGAGCCTCCCGGTTTGGAAGGATCTCACAACCAATGCCGACCGTCCCCCAAACCCTGTGCCTTCACAGAGTCACAATAAGCAATGACATAAGCCGCACACATGTTGCTTGCCTGGGGAGAAGGCTCTGAGTGACACCTTGTCTCTTTGCCGGCTGGGCTCAAAACGCTTCGGACGTAGCCGTGGATGTCACCGGGCCACGGGCACCGTCGTAGGCCATGAGTGCCCGGAGCTGAAGTCCAGAACCGAAGAAATTTCTGCAGGCGTGCTGTTACTAGTAGCGTCCTTGCTACTAGTAGCGATGCCAGGAGCCCCTAGTAGCGTCCTTGCTCCTAGTAGCGATGCCCTTGCTCCTAGAAGCGTCCTCTAGTGAAGGCGTGCTGTTCCTGTTCCTATTTATGCAAACAAACTACGGAGGTTGAGCAACTTTTTGGGCGGTGACTGGCGCGTCAAATGACATGATTGGTGAGTTGCATGGCTTTAACATGTGGGGCCCTAGGGAGCGACGGGGTAGGACTGTTTGACACTCGATGAGGTTGAAACGGAGAAGTACTGTACGGTCGCTGCCTTACGCAGAAGCGAACGGATTCATGGGAGAAGCGGAGCGGAGTGGGTCACATTTTGGGTGGCTTCAGGTTTTCCAGACACAGAGCTCCAGAATATCAATCATGTAATAACAGCAGTTGTTGTTGATCGCGGTTTCACACAACAACAAGGGACATGATTCAAAAGATAGGCAGGCACACACACACACACAGGCAGGCAGGCAGGCGGGCAGGCAGACAGACAGGCAGACACAGGGAGACAGGGAGACAGGGAGAGACGGAGAGAGGGAGAGAAGGAGACAGGGAGACAGGGAGACAGGAGGGGGAGATATAGAGTGTGAATGCAGTATTGTGTTGGAGCATGTGGGATTCTCCAAACAGTGCATACCATACCAAAGTGCTTGTGTAATTGTTGCAGCCTTGAACACTGAGGATGCATCTTAGATCTCAGTAAGACATGACTCAACATGTTGATTTCGATCAAGAGTCCAAAGGGCCGTTGTTCTGTGGATTAATTGTGGTGGTGTGCATTTTGATGAGTTCCGCCAGCCAAGCATTCAAATGTCCGATCGCACAAAATCCATATTGTAGATGGTGCTTGTGGTACCCTCGAACTCATGGGCAATAGGATGTATCTGCCACAGGGATGAGTTCTGGACACCCGCATTGCGATCTGAGATCCTCATTCACTATGAGAAGGGCGTGCCGCCAACATCCGAAGAGCTTGCGAAGAAGTTGGAGAGCAAGAAGGACATGAATTGTTAGTGTGAACGAGGGCAGTATTCGGTGAGCTTGAACGGCCTTCATTCTTGATGTGGGCTGGAAGAAACTGCTTGCTGAACAAGAGCTCTGATCTGCTGACATGGACATGGGATACCCAAGATCAAAGCTTGACACTTACGTGCTGCAAATAGGATCAAAGCTTGGCACTTTTCGGGTCTGTTCGCAGAGAAGAAAATCCGGTCCGTTCCGATTGTAGTGACTCGGTCGAGGAGACTGTGCAAGCCGAAGCCCTTGAAGAGTTGATTCTGCTGATGATCAATGGTGAGTCGCCTGGTCTCAAGGGAGCCCAGTGTTGGAGTGGACGTCAAATGACAGACGAAGTCGGCAAATCTACACTAGAGACAGGAAACCGGCTCGCCCTCAGCCAGGACACTGGAGGTCAGGTGTCGTATTTGGTCCTGACACGACCCTGGACACTCCGTTCGGCCCGAATCCCCTCCGAGTTTGGGGGATTCTCACCAATTCCTATGGTTTAAAGTCATCCGGAGTCGCCTCCTGTGAGATGACGCACTTGAAGACTCGCTTGCTGGGTTGGAGGGTTGGCACTGAGAATGAGGGGCGGATCAGCTGGACAGTCATGATCATGGAGCGTTTTTGGCTAATGTTAATGCCCACGCAACATGGACTCCTGGACGGCTAGTTTTACCTCATGACGGTAGCTGAAAATGTGACCCAGCTCTGATCGACCCCTTCACGAAACAGAAGCTAACACAGAAGTGCATCTGCCTCTGCAGACGGGGGTTTGAATTTGTTTTGGATTTGGAAGACAATGAACCTCTAGTGAGGAGGAAGCCCCTTTTCTTGCTTGCTGTGAAGGCTCTTTAGATGGAAAATGATGGAAAGGTACTCAGCTTATATGCAACTTGCAAGGAACCCCTGTAAAAAATTGTAATACCCTGCGGCCTGCGGACCTAAACTCTACGCGCGAGCAAGGTCGTACCCGAAGCTGTTGATGACTATCATCCGCCTCTTGTTTGCGTTCATGAGCATTATCACCTCAAAGGATTGCATTGAGTTGCAGGCTTGTACTGAATGTGTTGCTGGCACAAGTGGTCTCACACAGATCAAGACTGGGATAGCGCTGTGCTGTGAAAAGCTAGCCGATGCTCGTTTGCCTTTGCCAAACATGAACGGAATCAAGCATCGCTACTAGGAGCAAGGACGCTACTATCACCTGGCCTCACTACTAGGAGCAAGGACGCTATTAGGGGCTCCCCACGGCGTTTTTGTTTGTCTTTTTGGCGGCCAGAAGCTGAGCTCTGCAGCTCCGCGATTGAGGTTTTGTGGTCACTAGCCGGGATCATCGAGTAAAGAAGCTTTTGCAGATCTATTGGGAGATCGTCGAGAAAACAAAGGACGCCGTTTATGGCTGCAGAGAGCTAGCGGCTCTGTCTCTCTGTCTCTCTCTCTCTCTCTCGTTTTTATTGCCATACAGCAGGGTGCTTGAAGCTGTTGCACCAAGGTGACAATTGTCCACATGCTGCTTCTCCACGACCATGTTTTTTCCATGTTTATTTTTTCCTCTTGATGCCGCTTCTCTCAGGGTGCCTGGCAGCCACTAAACAAGTTCCCTTTCTGACTCCTGGCCCATGCAGGACACCGGCGACCTAAAGGAAGAAATGATCTTGGTGTGCAATGCCTTACGAAATGACTTGATGCACGCCAACGAGTGCCCAACGGCGTACAGGTTACATGAATCTACAGAATCAACATCAATTGATGTTGTTTTTGCCTGTTGAGTTTATTGTTGCTTTGGCTTTCAGAACCCTGGGCATGTAGGAAAAGAATCAAAAAAGCACACTCACAAAAAGCAATCGGAGAACGCCTTTTAAACATTTTCAAGCCCAATGCGATACATTCAAAGCACACATGCTCGACCCAGAACCAGTTGCATACTATTTCGTGGAGGTACGTGTGCGGCTCGACATTGCGGTTGCCTGGCAAACGTCTATATTTGCTGGATGTTTTGGGGAATCTTCCCAATTCTTGGTGCATTGGTCGGCTAGCTGGCCGGTATGCTAAGGGAATCAGTCCAGCTCTCCGAGCGATCCTGCTGTGGGACATGAGAACAATAGGGTGTTAGGCAGCTATCTTTCGAACAACCCAGGTCCTTTGAATTCCCGGAAACTCTGTAAGGGATACGAAAAGGACAGCCCATTGGTTGACTTCTTGTTTCATACAATATGTATATATATATGTATAATGTATAGATACAACATCCTATACCCAAGCTATTTTGCATCCACCTGTAAACTTGCAAGTACATTTCTTGCCTTGATCTTTCTGCCGAGCGGAGGTTGTTGTGCAAGATGAAGTACTACAGGACGCGTGGTCCATTGCAGTTGCAGAGAGACTGTGACCCCTCTCAAGAATTTCTGTAAAGCACCACCAAGAGGTTTCTTAGCAAGAGAAAAGCACAAGTGTGCAACACTTCTTCCCAAACAAGCAGGTGTGTCTTCGATTGGGGGAGACAAGCCAGCGTGACAGGTTGGGGAAGAAGAATAGTGGACAGACAGACTCATCAGTCATTAGTTCGGGAGGTGTCTCTATAAGTAACATACTACTAGGAACAAGGACGCTACTAGGAGCAAGGACGCTACCAGTCCAAGGGACCCACTTGTGTTGCATCGGTCGGGCACGGCACTACATCGCGCTGGCGGTGACGGCTTTTCGCTGTTTGGAGGATCCTTGAGCCCTTGAAGGAGGCTGTTCTCAGGAACCTGTCGCATAGGCATCGTGAAGCGTGGGTTCCTCTTTTGGACATCTTCTGATTGAGGGGTTCTTCCTACTCTTTGGCATTGCCGGATGGCCCAAAGCGAGAGAAACTTCTCAAGCATCGGACAGGGGCCTCCCGAGCCAGCACTCAACGTGAGCATTCCATTCGAACCTTTGAGTCTGCGGAGTTTTCACAAAACACACGGGTGACCGGCGGCCTTGACCCAGCAGAGCTGACACCGGCCAGGCACTCCTACGTGCGGCGAAATGCAGTGATGTGTGTCTTTTCCATTGTGAAGAGCTTTGGCGTCGAAGTCTTGCCAGAGGCAGGCTGCGGCAGATGGTCGGGGTTTTGCAGGGTGCCGGTTGTTCCATATCTTTCTTTCAAAAGGGGACCCGCAGGGGTCAAAAGAAGAGACTTCCGTGAAGACCTTGGATTTCCGTCAAATAATCAACCCTGGCACAAGGTCCATTTCAACATCGCAAACGGTAGATAATTTTGGCTGATTTCACAGAATGGTGCAGCTGTTTGCTTTGCGCTACCAAACAACCGGAGTTGGTTTACAGCAGCTGGTTGACACAACTACGAATCCAGTGAAGCAAGCTCATCAATCACAGAAGAGATACTTCTGCCCATTCCCAGTCAACAAGAGAGTTTAATTTTTCTGAGGAATGCATGAAGCACTGCTGTTGGTTCGGTGCATACAGATATTATGATATAATCAGACGAGCAACCCCTTTTTTCATTCTTTACTAAAGTAGTCTAGGGCATGCTCTATTTGTTTGCCCAACATCAGTATTCGCTGGTGAACTAGATAGGGAGGTACTGTGATTTGCTACTAACAGAGTCTGAGCGAAATACTATGACATGACTGTGACCTCCAACTAAAGTACTCTAAACTCTAAACGAGATAGGGCCCCGACATAATAGATTTAAGTTGAGTAATGAATAAGTGCCGCTGCTCAGATGTATCAAGGACTGTGTATATTATACACGATCAGGTACGCCTATGGGCAGATTAATATGTAGTTGTAGCTTCTGCTTGGTGTTATATTTTCGCGCAACATGTGCAGTCTGTCTTCAAAGGCAGACACACACACGGCCAAAGTAAAGATCATGGTGATTTCGTGCAACCCCCCTGCTTGTACCGAAAAGAATCAATAGCACATGGGTTGGCTGAGTCACAACTTGGATTGGACTTTGTACCCAACTTGACCCCTTGGCAATGATCATGGAGCGTTTGGATCGTACAATCAAGTACCAAAGGGAAACATCAATAAACCTAAGACCGTCTCAGACAGTCTGGTCCTTTTTCTTTGCTCCTCAGGCGCCTGAGGATATAGAGCAGCTGCTCTTGGTTGAGGGCGACCTCTCCACAAAGCGTCGCTCGGTGCACGGAACGGAACAACGAGAACAAAAAGGTATGCGATGGATGTGATGGATCCACAACAGGTGTTTTGCGCAAGACGACATCGACTGCAGTTGGGGAATTCCATATTCGTGAGGGCCGAAGTTGGACTTGCCCTGTATATTAAAAACAAGTTGGGCTATCACCTACATCATTTCGCAAACTCAAAAGCCGTGACCCTCCAGACCAAACAATGGGGGGCTTTCAGGGATTGTTTTGGATCCGCGCATGTTTTCCCGAATGCGTAGCGAAGGGTTCTCGTTTAACTCTTGGGGTTCTGGGGGTAGAGCCTTGTTCGCGATCCGTTGTTTCTACGTCCGCAACCGTCCGCAACCGTCCGCAACCGTTCGCAACCGTTCGCAACCGTCCGCAACCGTTCGCAGTAGAGCGCTAAGGCGCTGCCATTGGGGGAAGCTTTTGCAAGTGACTTTTCATGGATGTGTCACGTGTCAGTTTGCGACGCTATTCCATTGTGATTTGCATGAAAAAGACACGTCGCGCAAGAAGCGTGATGCATTTCGCTGCACAGGCGCAGCGTTTTGTGAGATCCGCAGGTTGCCACGCAGTTCCTTCGGGATTAGCGTTTGGAGAGTCGTGTTCTTGGGGTGTTGGACATGTCCGTGCCATTGGGATTTGCGTTTCAGGGTGTGGCACCGAAGCTCTGTTTTCGTGACAAGTCTCGGCTGAAATGCCGATTTTGGTGGATGGGAGTGTGCTCAGAACGGGTCGAAATCATTCCAAACGTGTGGTGTGGTGCAAATTTTGTTGAAGCTGACATGAGATGATATTGTCACTTTTCGTGGCAGGCGCAGTACTTTGTGTGGGTTTTGAGGCGTGGAAGTGCGATTCTCGTGGCAGGCGCAGGGAATGGTGAGGTTGCGAGGTGTGACGGAGGTGACATTTCGTGGCAGGCGCAGTACTTTGTGCGCGTTAGACATGTGGATGGAGAAAGATTCGTGGCAGGCGCAGGGAATTGTGAGGTCGTGAGTTGTGGTAGAAGTGAATGTCGCTGTCACAGTGGGATTGGCGTGTGAACGGGTGTTGTTTGGAGGGGCTGGGCTCGCGAAACTGCTTGGCAGGGCTGCGTGATGTGTGCGCTCCGATGGGTGTTTCTGCTTGACTTTTGGAGGAAGTCTCGTACGAAATGCTTGTTTTGCAGACTTTGACATGTGACTTTGGAGGAAGTCTCGAACGAAACGCTCGTTTTGGAGACTTGACACGTGACTTTTGGAGGAAGTCTCGTACGAAACGCTCGTTTGGGAGACTTGACATGTGACTTTTGGAGGAAGTCTCGTACGAAACGCTCGTTTTGGAGACTTGACGTGTGACTTTTGGAGGAAGTCTCGTACGAAGAGTGCCCTACAAGAGTGTCCCACAAGAGTGTCCTACAAGAGTGTCCCACAAGAGTGTCCTACAAGAGTCTCCCTGTCCCTTAAGAGTGTCCCGCAAGAGTGTCCTTTAAAAGTGTCCCACAAGAGTGTCCCACAAGAGTGTCCTACAAGAGTGTCCCACAAGAGTTTCCTACAAGAGTGTCCCACAAGAGTGTCCCACAAGGGTGTCCCACAAGAGTGTCCTACAGGAGTGTCCCACAAGAGTGTCCTACAAGAGTGTCCCACAAGAGTGTCCTACAAGAGTATCCCACAAGAGTTTCCTACAAGGGTGTCCCGCAAGAGTCTCCCACAAGAGTGTCCCACAAGAGTGTCCCACAAGAGTGTCCCACTAGAGTGTCCCACAAGAGTGTCCCACAAGAGTGTCCCACAAGAGTGTCTCACAAGTGTGTCCCACAAGAGTGTCCGACAAGAGTGTCCCGTAAGAGTGTCCCACAAGAGTGTCCTACAAGAGTGTCCCCCAAGAGTGTCCTGTAAGAGTGTCCCATAAGAGTGTCCTACAAGAGTGTCCCACAAGAGTGTCCTACAAGAGTGTCCCACAAGAGTGTCCCACAAGAGTGCCCTACAAGAGTGTCCCACAAGAGTGTCCTACAAGAGTGTCCCAACAGAGTTTCCTACAAGAGTGTCCCACAAGAGTGTTCCGCAAGAGTTCTCTACAAGAGTTTCCCGCAAGAGTGTCCTACAAGAGTGTCCCACAAGAGTGTCCTACAAGAGTATGCCACAAGAGTTTCCTACAAGAGTGTCCCACAAGAGTGTCCCACAAGAGTGTCCTACAAGAGTGTCCCACAAGAGTGTCCCACAAGAGTGTCCCGCAACAGTGTCCCACAAGAGTGTCTCACAAGAGTGTCCCTTAAGAGTGTCCCACAAGAGTGTCCCACGATAGTGTCCCACGATAGTGTCCCACAAGAGTGTCCTACAAGAGTGTCCCGCAAGAGTTTCCTACAAGAGTGTTCCACAAGAGTGTCCCACAAGAGTGTCCCACAAGAGTTTCCTACAAGAGTGTCCCACAAGAGTGTCCCACAAGAGTGTCCCGTCAGAGTGTCCCACAAAGAGTTTCCTACAAGAGTGTCCCACAAGAGTGTCCCACAAGAGTGTCCCACAAGAGTGTCCCACAAGAGTGTCCTACAAGAGTATCTGACAAGAGTTTCCTACAAGAGTGTCCCGCAAGAGTGTCCCACAAGAGTGTCCCACAAGAGTTTCCTACAAGAGTGTCCCGCAAGAGTGTCCCACCAGAGTGTCCCACCAGAGTGTCCTACAAGAGTGTCCCACAAGAGTGTCCCGTATGAGTGTCCCACAAGAGTGTCCCACAAGAGTGTCCCGCAAGAGTGTTCCGCAACAGTGTCCCACAAGAGTGTCTCACAAGAGTGTCCCTTAAGAGTGTCCCACAAGAGTGTCCTATAAGAGTGTCTCACAAGAGTGTCCTACAAGAGTGCCCCACAGTTTCCTACAAGAGTGTCCCGTAAGAGTGTCCCACAAGAGTGTCCTACCAGAGTGTCCCACAAGAGTGTCCTACAAGAGTGTCACGTAAGAGTGTCCCACAAGAGTGTCCTGCAACAGTGTCCCACAAGACCACAAGAGTGTGCTACAAGAGTGTCCCTTAAGAGTGTCCCACAAGAGTGTCCCACCAGAGTGTCCCACAAGAGTGTCCTACAAGAGTGTCACGTAAGAGTGTCCCACAAGAGTGTCCCGCAACAGTGTCCCACAAGAGTGTCTCACAAGAGTGTCCCTTAAGAGTGTCCCACAGCCGCAGTTGTGGATTTCTCTGTATTATGTGGACGGTTATCATTTTCAAGTGCTTGTTTTTGAGATTTTGGGACAATGCCATTGTTTCTTTCGTGATGTGGATCTGCCAGAACCTTTACGCCAGTGCTTGATTTGAATGCAAAACGAAGACCCTTCATGACGAAGACGGAGCTTGGTGGTGAAGTCCCCAGCACATGCTGCCTTGGTGGTGGATTCCTCAGCGCATGATGTCCAACAGCGTACCGGAGTGTGAAAAAGATAATCTAACCGGCTGTGTCTCTTTCTATACACAGTGGATTGACATATGTGTTTGCATTCGGGTTCGTGGGCTCCATCTTGTCTTTTTCCCGAATGCGTGGCAAAGGGTTCTTGTTTAACTCTTGGGGGTCTGGGGGTAGAGCCTTGTTCGCGATCCGTTGTTTCAACGTCCGCAACCTTCCGCAACCGTTCGCAACCGTCCGCAACCGTTCGCGGTAGAGCGCTAAGGCGCTGCCATTGGGGGAAGCTTTTGCAAGTGACTTTTCATGGATGTGTCACGTGTCAGTTTGCGCCGCTATTCCATTGTGATTTGCATGAAAAAGACATGTCGCGCAAGCAACGTGATGCGTTTCGCTGCACAGGCGCAGCGTTTGGTGAGATCTGCAGATTGCTGCGCAGTTCCTTCGGGATTGGCGTTTGGAGAGTCGTGTTTTTGGGGTGTTGGACCATTGGGATTTGCGTTTCAGGGTGTGGCATCGAAGCTCTGTTTTCGTGACAAGTCTCAGCTGAAATGCCGATTTTGGTGGATGGGAGTGTGCTCAGAACGGGTCGAAATCATTCCAAACGTGTGGTGTGGTGCAAATTTTGTTGAAGCTCACATGAGATGACATTGTTGCTTTTCGTGGCAGGCGCAGGACTTTGTGCGGGTTTTGAGGTGTGGAAGTGGGATTTTCGTGGCAGGCGCAGGGAATCATGAGGTTGCGATGTGTGACGGAGGTGACATTTCGTGGCAGGCGCAGTACTTTGTGCGCGTTAGACGCGTGGACGCGGAAAGATTCGTGGCAGGCGCAGGGAATCGGGAGGTTTTGAGTTGCGGTAGAGGTGAATGTCGCTGTCACATTGGGATTGGCGTGTGAGCGGGTGTCGTTTAGAGGGGCTGGAATCGCGAAACTGCTTGGCAGGGCTGCGTGATGTATGTGCTCCGATGGGTGTTTCCGCTGGACTTTTGGAGGAAGTCTCGTGCGAAACGTTCGTCTTGCAGACTTTGACATGTCCTACAAGAGTATCCCACAAGAGTATCCCACAAGAGTTTCCTACAAGAGTGTGCCACAAGAGTGTCCCACAAGAGTGTCCCGCAACAGTGTCCTTAAGAGTGTCCCACAAGAGTGTCCCACTAGAGTGTCCCACAAGAGTGTCCCACAAGAGTGTCCCGCAACAGTGTCCTTAAGAGTGTCCCACAAGAGTGTCCCACAAGAG